TTTTTTTTTTTTTTTTTTTTATTTAATTTAAATTCAATAAGTATTCTGTCACATAGTACGGTGACATTTTACAATTTTTTAATAAATACTATTTGAGACTTGATCATTTACAATTAAAGTAGTTCTCCCTGTAGAGAGCTTCTCTTTTCTTTTTAATTTAAGATTTCTTTATAATAAAATTTGATTTTTATAATAAAATTTGAAGCGGCGTTTTCCTTTTCAGTCTCGTAAATATATTTGAGGGGGACATCAAATTCGAAGCTAGGATGTTGGGATGAATTTGTATTCGTTCATGGTATTTTCTAGCTACCTTTTTTACTTCATCTCTTACCGGGATTATCCCAAGGTCCCGATGGATTTGAATGTTAGTTACATACCATGGAGCATTTACTATAAAGTTTTAGATTGAAATCTTTGAAGAATTTCTATGTTGGATGTTGAGGCTGTTCCCCATAATTGAATGCCATAGGTCCATACTGGTTTTAGCACACTTTTATATAAAATAAGTTTATTCTTTAGGGATACTGAAGATTTTTTATTTAGTAGCCAAAACATTTTTCTGTATTGAATCCCAAGGGATTTCCTTTTGTTAAAAATATGTGTTTTCCATGTCAGACGTCTATCTAAGTGCATGCCCAAGTATTTAGCGATATTTGATTGCGGAATTATTATATTATTAAGTTTAATTTCCGGGCAGGTGTCTTTTCTCATTGTGAATGTAACATGAGTAGATTTTGTTTCATTTGCTTTCATGCGCCAATACTGCAACCATTTTGATATACGATCAAGACCAGCTTGTAGTTTGAATGAGGCTACAGACGGATCGTTTGCACTCGCCAGGATAGCTGTATCATCTGCAAATGTACCGGTTACAATTCCTACCGTCTTCGGTAAATCGTATGTGAAAAGCAGATAAAGGGTTGGACCGAGTACACTGCCTTGTGGTACTCCAGCTCTAATATCATGTAGGGAAGACATTTCATTTTCATTGTTGACATAAAAGAGTCTTTTCAATAGATGCGATTTTATGAACGTATAATAGTTAAGTGGCAGAAGCTTTTTACATTTGTAAAAAAGTCCTTGGTGCCATACTCGATCAAACGCTTGAGATATGTCCAAAAACGCTGCTGAGCAGTATCCTTTTCGCTCGAAAGTGGTCTGTATTTTTTCAACAATTCTATGAATTTGCTCAATGGTTGAGTGTTTTCTTCTGAATCCAAACTGGTGGTTCGGAATTATTCGTTTCGACTCAATTACCGGCATAAGACGTTTTAAAAATAATATCTCAAGAACTTTTGAAAGAATGGGAAGGAGACTTACTGGACGATAGGATTTTACATCTTCAGCTGGTTTCCCTGGTTTTAGTATCATCTTTATTTCGGCAACTTTCCATTGATCAGGGATGAAACTTTTTAACAAGGATGCATTGAAAAGATGAGTAATAAATATTAAAGCAACATCTGGAAGTTTTTTAAGAATTTCAGCAGTTATGAGGTCATAGCCAGGTGCCTTTTGATTTTTAAGAGATTTAATA